TAGAAGGCCATCAACGCTCAAATATCTAAAAACCTTAGTTTACTTTTTAAAGCTAGAACATTTTTATTACAAAAAAACTTAAAAATTCCCCATGGGCACAGTACGTTTTTAAAATGTTTTTTTATTAGGTTTAAACCTAATAAAAACGTCCAAAGAACGTTTAAAAAACGCACCGTGCTTACAGGGTCTTTGGTTTTTGTTTATACATAGTCTGTATACATAGTCTTGCATACGTCAACATAGCTTGGAGAAGAACACACAAAATAAAATTTATGTCTCTTTATCGACGACAGAAACATGCTTCTAGAATAATACGGTATGTGATAGTGGTGTAGTGGTAGAACGCTCGCTTCATAAGCGAGAGGTTCCGAGTTCGATCCCCGGTAGTATCACGCTCAACTCGTTTCTCCGCACAGCGGCCTTGTTCGTCATGGTTCGTGTTTCGGAGTTATAGAGTTGAGAGAGGGTTATAACCACAAATAAGTAGCCTCCTCGCCTGTGGTGGCCTTCTTGGCCTTGAGGAAGTGAATTAACAAAAAAAAAATACATTATAAAAACAAACTTACATATACTAATCCCCTATTAAAAGAAATAAATACGCTAAACATTTATTAAATTAGTATCTATGCTAATATACTTTTAATGCTAAAATACCAAATGGGATTAGTTCCTTCACGATTTAGATAAAACTTCTTTTATTAAAATACCAATAGGTTTAACACAAGAGCAACAGGTAACTTTATCGTACTCCTACACCATAAAGTGAAATTCATTAAAAATAAAAATATAATTAATTTAAAAAAAAAAAACTTTTAGACTAATTTTTTTGCTTATGAAAATTTTGTTGATGTTTTTATATTAAATTGTTGTTGAAGAATGCTCAACGAATTTTTAAATCTATTAAGTTATTTTTCTGCGTGCATTTTCTTTGCACCTGCCTAATTTCATCAAATAATAATTAGTAGCAGATAGTTTAGCATCATCTTTTTTTATGCATCCGTCAGGGTTAGGGTTAGGTTTACAGTGTTTTTTATTTACTTTTTGCATATTTTTTTTTTGTTTTTGTAACCTTTACTTCTTGCCCATACTAATCCTGGTAAATTTCTAAATAACTTTCAAAATGATTTTGGTTTCCAAAAAAATATTTTATTTTTTGACCTTAGATAAAAAGGCTCCATCAATGGGCATTGTATTAACATGATTTCTGCTTGTCGCAGATCACAGTCTTATTGCAGTGGAAAATGTCTTAAATTGTAGATACAAGAGATTTGTGAGTTTTTGATTAACAAAACTCAGACAGCAAGTGCAAGGTCTCGCAATATAAGTAGTGAAGAGTTATTGTAAATGCTTTTGCGATGCCAAAGAAAGATCGTCTAATACAACATTTGTTTATTTCGTGCAAATTAAAATGAAGAGATAAACCTTTGTATTATATTAAGCATGTTTATTAATCATCTTTGGATTTAAAATTTTCAAAAAATTTTTCCAGGGAAGAACACCGCCTCCCATAAGTCCCTTAAAAGTAGCTAAAATTTTTTAAACCGGTGAAACATTTCTAATAAACAATTACAGACCAATCTCAATACTTCCTTTTCTAAAATACCTGAACGAATAATCTACAATAGCTTATATGAATACCTAATTCAAAACAAATTCTTAATTAAAAAACAATTCGGCTTTCAAGCACAGCACTCAACAGAGCATGCAATTTTAGATTTAGTTAATAGCATAAGTGATTCTTTTAATAAAAAGCAATTTGTAATAGGAACTTTTATAGACCTTTCCAAAGCATTCGACACAATTAATCATGATATCTTACTAAAAAAATTGGAAAAATACGGAATAAAAAATACTAGCTTAGATTGGTTTAAAAGTTATCTGTGCCACAGACAACAATGTGTTATTTCAAACGATATTAAATATTCTCATTTCCTAAAAATAAAATGCGGAGTTCCCCAAAGTTCCATTCTTGGTCCTTTTTTATTTTTAATCTATATTAACGATCTTCCACAATCACTAAAAAAATTCGATACAATAATGTTTGCTGATGATACAAATTTCATTCATCACCATCAATTGAAAATCTCTTTGAATCTGCAAACGATGACCTTGAGAGTCTAAACATTTGGTTTAAAGTAAATAAATTATCAATAAATACAGAAAAAATAAAATACATATTGTTTCATTCCAACCATCAAAAAAATAAATTACTGAACAAAAAGTTAAAAAGTTATAGATTTAATCTTTAAACTTTTAGTTTATTTTTTATTAAAAACTTTTAGTTTTTATTTTAAAGGTTCTCGATGAAAAGACTTTTCTTAGTCTTCTGTGAGTTTCCTTATAACTATATAGTACTTTTAATATATATTAATATATAGTTTCAACGACAACGACAAGCAAGTCCCTAGTAGCCCTGTGGTGCGACGGACTTGCGTATATTTTTTGAATGCATGGGTTAATAACCAGCACTTTTTATTATAAAGTACGAATTTTTAATTTTATTATTTTAACTCGATGTCAAACGCGCATGCGTAAAACAATTAACGCCCTTTATATATAGTACCTTGTTAACGTTCTTTATATATTGTAAATATTTGTGTGGGATATTTATATAAACTGGAGTAATGTAAATGTTATTTATTTTTAAAATATATATTAATGATTGTTGTAAAAAAAAAAAAAAAAAAAAAAAAAGTCTAGTACATATAAATTCTAGTAAAACATAATTTTTACTGGGTGTATTTTGTATTATAAACTAACTTTTATATTTAGATATAAAACATTCGTTTTAATAAATAAATTTTTTTTTTAAGAATTTAACATTTTTTGTTAATCGGGTGTATTAAGGCAACACCACCATGTCCATTTCTAAAAATTTCTCAAATTTGTTTGTGGTTTTGGAATATTTTGGTAACTTTTCATATATAATTAAACTTTTTTATTTTTAAAACATTTTTTGATTTAAATGTTGGTTTTTTATTTTTTAGGCTAGGGGATGGGGCCTTCCGAATCGTCTCTCTTAAAACTCAATGTGAATAAATGTAAAAATATAATTTTTGTTGTATCTATTGTAAGTTATATTGCAAATTTTTGATGTATATATTGTAAATTGCATTGTAGGTTTTAATCCATTTGTTGTCTTGGTATTTGTTGTCTTAGTATTGTAGTTTTGAGTCATAATGTCTGGGTCTTAGTTTTATTTTGGTTTTCTTGACTACATGTCTGGCTATAAAATTTATTGACTTTATTAGCAGTTGTAATTGACACTTCTTTAATATTATATCTCTCTCTCTTTCTCTCTCTCTCTCTCTCTCTCTCTCTCTCTCTCTTCCTCCCTCTCTCTCTCTCTCTCTTCAATCTTTTTTATTATATGATCCAAAGTAGTAATACTTCTTGGTATTGGTGTTAGATCTGGTAAGGTGTTTTTCCAAAGCAGCCAGTTCTCTGCTAACTCTGGTGAAATTGGTTTGTCCTAAGAATATTGTAAATGACATATTTATCAATAAATTAGTTTTGCTGTTATCTTTATTGGGGAAATTATACCAAGTGGATTGCAGACTTTAGACAAACTTCCTAATATTCCTCTTTTGGTTAAACAATCTATTTTGCAATCAGGCCTGCAATCCACAATTAAAGTGTCATCACTTTTGTCCAATAATAAATCAAGAACTTTTGAATAACGTAGATGGTGTTCATTGAGGGTTACTTCATTATAGTTTTCTCCTAAATCATTTGTTTCTAATACAGGAAAATTTAAATGCCACTTGTGAAGGTTGAATCCTAACTTTTCAAATAAATGAATTGCTGTTAGCTTCAAGTTTTTAATATATTCCATATCAATCCCTCCTGTGATTATGTTATCAACGTATATGCTCTTTTTGATTAATTGAATTTTATTCTTTTGATGCGGGTAATAATTTTCATATTTCAATAAATGTTGTTTGATTACTCCCCCAAGTACAAAGGGACTAGATGTACATTCAAACGGGATATGAGTGAATCGCAGAGTTATAACTTCTTTACTTTTTAAGTCGGATATTCTATAGAAACGAAAGATGTCACGATCTTTGGTATCAACCATTATTTGTAAAAAGACTTGTTTAATGTCTCCAATTAGACAAACAGGTTGCAATCTGTCTTTCAAAATAACATTAAGTAGTAAAGGTTGTAATGGAGGACCAATATGCAAACAATCATCAAGTGAGGGTGATCTTTGATGATTTCTTCTTTTGGAATGCTTGATAAGATTTCGCTTAGACTTTTATGGCAAAATTCTGATGATATCTAAATTTTATATTTTGAATATCAATTTTATATTTTGTATATAAAATTGTTATTTTTAGTTTTATTAATTAAAAAAGTACGTTTTTTTAAAAAAAAAATAAAAGAAATGCATTTTTTATGTTTTTTTACGATAATTTTGATTAATAAGTTAAATTTTTTTCAAAATGAGTATAATTTTTTAAATTTTTATATAATTTCGCTTCATTTGAGTATCAGGTTGACATATTTTTGAAAAAATTTTTATTGAAAATATTAGGGATCCATTAAATATTCGAGGGTCTTGAGGGACCCCTTAAAATATTTTTTATTCAAAAAAAATTTTAAACCTAGTGTTTTTGTATTAGATAGAACACATTTATGTGGTAGGAGCAGGTTTTTCTTAAAAAGTTGTTTTAAGGGCCACCCTATTATATATATATATATATATATATATATATATATATATATATATATATATATATATATATATATATATATATATATATATATATATATATATATATATATATATATATATATATATATATATATATATATATATATATATATATATTTATATATCATTTCAACTGAAGAAAGTGTCCTAGAAGAAAAAAAAAATTAGTGATGCAATTATTGCATCACTAAATTTTTTTTTCTTCTAGGACACAAATAAAAAGCCCGAGTTAGACATTCAGTTATTTACTACTTGTGCCTCGTTTACATGAAAGCCAAATCGACTTGCGATGTTAATTCTATTAAAGTAAGTTTCGCAAGGAGGTACAAGTTGGTTAAGTGTTAGCTTCAACCACATAACAAAAAATATATTGAAACTTTAACGCTAAATTTTACATTTAATATGGCCTTCATAAATAGATTATCAGCAAGTGGTGTTGTTAATGGTTTCAAGATTGCTCTTAAAAGAAATATGGGAGTAGCATCCGTTTGCCAATCAAAAGTCAGTGAAGTATCAGATCCAATTCAAAAATTGTTTCTTGAAAAGCTACACGAATATAAAGCTAAAGCAACAAAGTTAAAAGACGGTGAGCTTTTTGACAGTAATCCTGAAATAGAAGGAAAAAAGAAATTTGGTATCGAAAATCTGAAAAAAAAATATGGAGATAATGTTGAAGAGTTTCCAAAATTTAGCTTTGAAAAATAAACAACTATATTGCAATAAATTACTTTAAAAAAGCTTTTTATTGTAAACTGTTAGTGTTATATTCATGTAATAATAAAATTGACAGTTTTTAAAAACTTTTTTTTTTTCGAATATATAAAAATCTAAGAAATACATAAACATATACATATAACAAAATTCAAAATAAGCAGGTTAAGGGTTGACATTATAGAGTACTTTTGGTACTTTTATGGATTAATCTTATTCTGCTT